CAAAGGGCTAGTATGTTTGGAAGCCTCCTTCCAGGGTGCAGGAGGATGCCCATGGGTGGAGGCTTGTACCACAGGCCACTACAGCAACCCTCTGAGAGGTCCCACCCAGAACCAGGGAGAAGCCTGGCCTCTTGCCCTGTCTCTCCAGTGACCTCATACTCACGAAGCTCAGCCTCACTCCTGCATGACTGGGGTTCTAATTCCTCATCTGCCCTCCAGTCACTATCCAGTTTCCTTCCCTTAAACTTGCAGGAGAGGAGTTTGTCTAGAACTTCCTCTAAGCGGATCTGTTATTCGATACTGGAGTGTCCAGTGGTTCCTTGCTCTTGTCCTATTCAAACAGTTGGACGGAGACAACCAAGGAACGTGAACGTTTCATTTACTCAAGACAAAAGAAGGCAAAGGTAGAAGTGAAAAAAGGAGAGAAATGAAGAAGTAAAAGTGAAGAGAGTGAACACGCCTTGTGTGCAAAGCAGGTCACTGGGCTAGTAGGAAGACAGTGGCAGTGAAGCCAGTGGGGGTACCTGGCTTTTATAGCCTTCTTCCGCTGTCAGGCCTGGGCTGTGATTGGACATTCCCCCTTGATTGACAGGCAGCACCCTATGGTCCAGCCTCCTTACCATGCCCTAATATCCTACCTCAGGTCTATGGCAATAAACTTGCTTAAATTCTAGTTTATTTGGGGGAAAGTCTTAATTCCCTCCTAATTTTTGAAAGACAGTTCTGCACATATAGAATTCTTCAGATTTGTTCTCTGAGCACTTTCAGTATATCAGTGTACTGCCTTTCAGTCTTGAAGGTTTCTGACAAGAAATCTCTAATCTTTCTGAAGGTGCCTTGTATGTGACATGTCCCTCTCCCTTGGTACTTTCAAGATTTTCTTAGCCCTTTGACAGTTTGATTATGGTGTATCACAGTGTGGGGCCCTGTATGTTTATCCTATTGGGAGTTTGTTGGGTTCTTGAACTTGTACATTCACTTCTTTCTTCAAAATGAGGACGTTTTTAACCATTATTTTTTATACCAGGAATTGAACTCAGGACCCTGTGCTTGCCAGGCAGGCACTGTGCCACTGAGCTACATCCCTGGCTTAATCGTTATTTTTTTGAAACAAATCTCTGTACCCCTTTCTCCCTGTTCTCCTTCCGAGACTTCTGTAGTGCATACATTACTCCACTGATGGTGTTTCACAGGTCTCCTCTGCTCATTTTTCTTCATTTTTTTGCTCCTCAGACTTGATCATTGTGATGGTTCTGTATTCAAGTTTGCGATTCTTTCTTCTGTCTGCTGAAATCGGCTTTGAAATTGACTGATTGTTGTACTTCTCAACTCTTTTTAGAAATAATTTCTACCTTTGTATTGGTATTCTCATTTTGTTCATCACCTGCTTCCCTTTGTGGTTTTCTTTCACTCATAAGCATCTTTAGATAGTGGTATTAAAGCGTTGGTATTAAAACATGGAGTCTGACATCTGTGTCTCTTCACGGACAAGTTCTGCTGACATAGTTTGTGCCTTTGAGTAAGTTCTCTTTTTTCGTTTTATATGCTGTTTGGTATTTTTGCTGAAAACTAGACATTTACACCTTATAATGTGGCAGCCTTGGATTTGGTGTCATCATTTTCTATTGTGCCGGTTCGTTTGTGTGTCTATACCAAGAATGGACCTGAAGCGAAAATTTAAGGTCTCTTCAGGTCTGTTCTGACCCTTGATATTTTCTTGGCCATACGAATATGTAGCTTTCAAAGTTCTCCTAGATGTAGTTGCTTTGAAGACCTGATCTTAATCCTTAAATTCCCTAGCGGGGGGGGGGAAAAAGCAGGGCAGGGAGCTTTGTTCCTTGAAATCTTCGAAAGCTGCTTCCCCCGGTAAAGTTTGCAGTAATGTCAGCCACCCTCCGTGTCTGTACCTCAGTAGTTAAAAGCAGAGATCAACACTCAGAACGCTGAAGTGAGATATCTGGAGGGTGAGGTCTTTGTTATTCATCAGGCTGCTGCAAGCTGCAGCTTGGCTGCCTACCGTAGGGCTGGAGGAGAGTAGTAGCTGCCTCCACACCTAAGACTGAAATGGGCCAAAATTAACTATAATTTACTAATGAAGCTTTCTCCTTGGAACTTGCGAGCTTTCAAACAGACTCCATTGTTTCAAAATGTTTCCTTCAGATAGTTTTTGCCAGTACAATTGTTTAGGTGGACAGTTGGGTTCTGTTCTCTGCCATCTTGCCTGACATCACTGTTCCATTCTTGGTCATTTTATGGTACTATCTGCTAATGGTACAGTTTAGTCCATTGGTCTTTGAAGAGGATCCTGTGCAAGCTTCTGGAGGCTGCAGAGCATCCACAGGAAGGCAGGTGCCCAGCTTACTAATTCACAAGGTTGATGGTAAGCAGCCCAGCACAGACCTGAGCAAGATGAGGAGAGATTCCCGGTGGAGAAGAAGGTAGAATGGAGGTGGCATCAAGGTTGGGCAGAGGATTAGGAGGCGGAAGTGAGGATGACGAGGCGATGCACCAGACAGGAGGCTGGAAGGAGGCTTCCTACAGGAGGAGGAGGACGAGCAAGGGGAGGAACACTAAGCACCATGGTGTCCTACGGGCTGCTTCTGGGTCTAGCAGTTCTCTTATCCCACATCTAGTCTCCCTCCCACCTCCCTGGCGAGTATGCAAGTGCTTGGCATAGATGGGTCCATCGGGTGTAAATCTGGAGAATTAGTCGGTGGAAATGGCTAAAACCGAAGGTGAAATGAAGCTCAGTGACAACTCAGGAAGTTAATTACATGGCATCTCCAAGTCACGCTCCACACCTTAAGGTAGGTAGGCCATGCAGCTCATTTATTCACCTAGAAACCAAGCTAATGGGTCTTTTTGAACTGTTTCCAGTGCCTTTGGGGTGCCTCATCCCTTCAGTTTGTTTCACTTTCCCTTAGTCTGAGCTCTGTAAAGTTTCCTCAGATCCCTGAGATGTCTGCTCGATGTCTTTGCTCCGGCTACCATAACAAAGTAGCACAAGCTGGTGGCTTAAACAACAGCGATTAATTTTCTCACAGTTTAGGAGGCTAGGCGTCTACAGTATAGGCGCTGGCTCCACCTGAAGTACAACACAAATTGGGTCCACGCCTCTCTCTAGCTTACGGTTTTTTGCTGACAATTTCTAGTGTTCCTGGGAGTGTAGAAGCCTCAACAACATGTCTGCTTTCATCTTCTCACGGTGTGCCCCCGTGTGCGTCTCCAGATTCCCCTGACTGTAAGGACACTAGTCATACTGCATTAGGGGCTCACCCGCCCCACTGTGACTTCATGTTAACATCTTCAGGGGTCCTATAAAGTTGCATTCTGAGGCACCAAGGGTTAAGATTTTAACAGAAATTTGGAAGAGCGATACACAACTCACTTTGTAGCAGCTTGCCGTATGATATCTGCCATGGTCCCTAGTAATGGGAGCTTACCAGTTGCCATGGAGATGTAGTTCCTACTGGTCCATGCAGCTCTTTGGGGGCCAGACCTTCTCTAAACCTTCCCATTGCTTTATGGAACAGGATCCTCAGGACCTCATCACAGGGCCACGAGTGTTTATGATATCCCCAGCCCTCTTCTATGCCCAGGGGAATTGTTCATCTGTGTTGGATAGACAGAGATAAAGGGGACCCTTCCTTTTACCTGGGGCATTTTCTCTAAGACATCTAGGTAGCTCAGGAGCTGGAAAACTGGTTAGTAGACCAAATCTGGCTTGCCATCTGGTTTTATGAATAAAGTTTTATTGAAACACTGCCATGTTCATTCTTTTAGAAGTTGTCTCTGAGTGTCTTTGTACTACAGTGGCAGAATTGAGTGGTTCCCTTGTATGATTGTATGACCCACAAAATCAAAAATATTTCCTCTCTTACCCTTTATCTAAAAAGCTGCACTGACCTGTGGTGTAGACACAAAAGCCTGCAGACTTCTATCCCGTTCTTCTGTTGTGTTTCTCTCCTGAAGCTATGGTTACAGGGTGGCCTTGCCATTTAAGCATGAGAAATGGCAAAGGGAGAAAAAAAAAAGACCCTCAAGAATTGGTGAGTGTCTCCAAAATACCATGCTGCCAGCTGGTATGAACATAATAATGAACATGAATAAAAATTCATGGAGTAATTGTGAGTTGACCCCATTTTTTTCCTCATGCTGAATTTCAGTGAAAAGCACAGAGTGGAAACACAAGGAATCTTACTCCATTGAGATGTTCTCAGCACCATGGAGGTGAATGAAACCGCTGAGGTTGCTCAGGTCGCCCTTCTCTAAGGATGGCCCAGAGCCGTATGGAGGAGCTGGTCAGAGCCACGCTGTGGCCAGCCAGTTCTGCCTCCTGCTGCTCCGCCTCTCTGTCCCTCATAGGTGTGGACTTGGTCAGGGAACACAGCCTGGTCTGTAGAACAGCTTAAAACGGTAGTCTAGACTCAGAGTCCCCAGGTTTTAAGACTGTAGCCTTGACCCCACACTTGCCCTGATAGAGCCCCTCATAGCCAAGACCTAAGTGGGCTCTAAGTGAGCCCGTGATCAAGTGAATTAGTTATTCAGATTTGTTTCATTCTAAATGAGAGCATTTAGTTACTCACCCTAAAACTTGTGAACCTCCATAGTATAACTGTAAGCCATTTAAAGATCTTCATTTCAGGGAAGTAAAACATATTTTTTAAAAAACATTAAAAATTCCTGTAGGGTTTTCAGAGTTACAACTAGCCAACTTTTAGGTTCAAAAATCAATTTGTGCATTTTTTCTCTACTGATAACTGGCTGTGTTGTTTCCATATGACCTTGATTTACCGTCATTGAATGCATTTTTCTGCCAATTCATGACAGCATGCCTTCAGTATGGGTCTAGGATTGCACAGATGTGGTCCGTCAGGGCAGAGGGGGTTGCTTTGGAAGCCGGCCCCACCCCTACTGCCTCTGGGCAAGAGGGACCACAGGGTGCCCTTGCTATTTTTGCCCAACCTCCTGGTTAATGCAGACCTTCTTCTTCATTCTAGCCCTGGGCCTGGAGGCACACACTGCTTGGGTGCCAGCGTGGAGCATGCGGTCTGTGAGAACCTTCCCTGCCCTAAGGGTCTGCCCAGCTTCCGGGACCAGCAGTGCCAGGCTCACGACCGACTGAGCAGCAAGAAGGGCCTGTTGACAGCAGTGGTGATTGATGGTAAAGGGATATGGCATGTCCTTCCACAGTGACTCCCTTCCCTTCTCCCCCTAGAACCATAAAAACCATTTAGGGAAACTCACAGGGTGCCCCCCCGCTTGCCCAGTGGAGTGTTCCATTCCTCTCCCCAAGTCAGCCGTGGCCGCACTTCTGGATGCATGAAGTTGAACTTGAATGATCCAGCTCTCTAAGATCTCCCAAGAACAGCTGTCTCGGGCAGGCAGCGAGCCAGATCTGCACCCCAACTGCAGCAAAGTGGTTGTGCTGGCAGTCTGCCACCTGGCACTGTGTGCGGAGGGACCAAGACAGACTAAGGAGAACAGGGCTCTGAGGGGCAGGGCAGGGTGAGATGTTTGTGTGTGAGCTCTCTTGCTTTGCAGCAAAGATGTTTCTTGCCTTGCCTTTCCTGGCTCATTTTTGGATAGGTTTTATTCTTAGAGCAATTTGGAGAATCGTGTACTATCTGGGAAAGATGACAATTAGTATAGGTTGTATTTTCTTTGGAAGAACTTTCTCCTAAATCAAGACACTGTGTGCCACTGGATTGCCGCAGCATTTCTAGTGACTGCAGAAACGCCAGGGAGTGGATCGTAGCTCTGTAAAGTTTGTGATTTTTTTTTTTCTTTGAAGGTGAGGACCCCAGGGCCAAGTTTAGGTTTTTCTTTTTCTGCCTAAAACTCTGTCCCTGTTTAGGAAGCATGACTTTGTGTTGTAGTGCTGACATTATGCTCCCACTTACTGAGCATCCTGTGAGCCACCCAAGTTAGCTCTACACACATCATCTCACTGGCTATGCAATGCAAGGAGTGCAGAAGAGGACGGGTTATGCGACATGTCTAAGCTCCTTCAGCTGACAAGCAGGGGAGGGAACCAACCCCAATTCTGGAGGAGAAAAGTTAAGACCAAAAATGACCAGATGTCACTTCACTCCCAATACTTAAAGAAGAAAAAGCGGGGCTGGGGATTTAGCTCAGCGGCAAAAGCGCCTGTGTGGCAAGCGCAAGGTCGTGAGTTCGGTTCCCGGTACCGGAGAAAAACCAAAAAATAAAATAAAATAAAATAAAGAAGAAAAAGCATGACTTCTTAGGTTGAGAGTGAGGGAGCTTTAAGAAGAATAAAAGCAAGAGGACCAGATTTTCAGATGTCCTCTGAGGTGTTGAGCGGAAGAATCACATTTTAGCGCCAGATCTCAGACTTCTTCCGTGGGATGGGAAGAACCTTTGAGATTTCCGTCCTGCTCTCTGTGGTGACAAGCTCAAATGCGCATAGGCCCAGACACTGCTCACTACAGACACCAGCAGCTTCAGGTCTGCAGCTTTTGTTTAGCCGGAAAACCTGACTCATTAGCTTTAAGCCGACTTGTAAAGGAACACGTGATGTACTCAAATCTAAATCACAGCAGGTAATGCCAACCACCTCTCCTGGGGACTGATTTTCAGGTGTTGGAGAGCTCCCCTGGGCATTTTCCTTTTTAAAAAAGAATACCATCTTTAGGGCTGGGTGACTGTTGCGCTGTCATGTGAATAGAATTTGAGAGTTCTGACTTTGCACTCTTGACTTCTGCTGCGACAAGGAGCGGGAAGCCCTGTGCTGCTGGTGATGCATGGTTGCACAGGGTCCCCAGCCTGTCTCTGCCTGAACATTACTGCAGTGCAGGGTGAGGCAGGGGCTTCCACCCACCTCAGGCACATTCGGACTCCTAATCGGGAGTGAGATAGTAACAAAGAAAGTTTCCCAACCTTCTACTTTCCCTAGAAGGTCAGATAAAGATGCTTCTAAGCCTCTGTTTGTCCTCCCCTCCTGTACTGAAATCAGGTCTAAGACAGACTTGCCCCTTTTTCGTTCCCACTCCACTCTGCACAAAGTTGATGTTATTCTTTCCTTGGTTCCTTGCTTTAAGTTCTCCTGCCTCATTTATTCAATGCAGAAATCCCACTTCAATGTCTGTTTTTCCACAGATTTCTCCAAGTCCAGCTTAAACCTCTGTTTTCCTTCTAACCACTTTTGGATGGGTGAGCTCCTTGGTTCCCTTATCATCACAGTGGCTGAGACTTCTGGCCGCCCAGACCCCCATTCAGGAAGCTTTCCAGGGAGGCTCTTTGGGACCTCACTGGGTGTAGAATGCATCCTTTCACCCACTTGCTTTTTGTTTCTTTCTGTCCAAGTAATAAATAATTGTGCTAGTGTGCCGCCGCCTTTGATCTGCAAAGTACGTCCCTGCTCTATAAGGACAGCCAACAGGCCGTAAGAGTTTTGCCTTTGAAGCAGAGACCCTGAGTTCAGGGCTTGGTAATGGTAGCTGCACACGTCCTCCTCTGGGGTGGAATTGTCATGATTTCTTGCATATTTGGTTTCATTTCTCTCCCAATTATAAACAGAAGCCAGCGTTTTTTAAAAGGAACATTTCACAAGGGTAAAAGCAAAATAATGGCCAATTCAGAAGGCAGATTCGAAGTGTTCCTCTCAAAACCCGCTTTCTAAAAGGCACAATTCTAGCTCAGTCCTGATAGGAACGATTCCTGTGGTCAGGCTCTGGGCTCTTGTGAAGCCCATTATGACTACCCTATTCATAGCTCTGCTATCGCTGCAGAATTCTTTGGCGAGTGACGCACGGTTCAAGAAAGGCGAAGCAATATTTTTTCTTTTCTCTCTCTCTCTCTCGAAAGAATTCCTGCAGAGGTAGGTTTTCCAGGGGAAGGCTCAGGACCACAAATCCATACCCACCTCCAAGAGAAGACAAAGACTCTCCTTAGCAAAGATTTCTGGGTGGAAATCCCTTAGACAGAAACCCACCTGGTTGCCAAACCTACCCTATTCCTGCCTTCTCCATGGACTCTCATTGAAATGGAAAGCTAGGCTATGTCTGGATGTGGGGGTGTTTTCCCAGCTCTTTCACCCTAGCATGGCAAAACCCCCTCCAGATCTCAGCTTCTGAAGAGATGACTTGTGTGATAGTGAAGACTGTCTGACTCCACCTTAGCCAAGCTGGCCATGTTGCTTAATGAACAGCGAGTATCTTAGAGGACCCAAGGGCCAGGCTGAGGGTCCAGGACTAGGACCTCTGAAGATGTCATAACCTTCCTCTATCTACAGCTTATGTGTGGAGTCACATCCTTTTGTCCCAACTATAGTCTGCCTTTATCACAACTTGTCCATATATAGGTTAATAGGGCAACCCACAGCACATCTTGTGTAAAATTACATCCCGTATCAAATTTTCGGGGGCCAGATATGGTTCAGAATTCGAAGCATTTTAACATTAGAAAAGCAAAAACAATAAAAGCAAGCAAATGGTAATATTCCTGGTGGAATCCAGGAAGCTGCTCTATAGCTGTCTGGACACCTCTACCAGGGAACCTGAAAACACCCCCATTGCACAGGTACCAATTCATGTCAGTTAAGGCTGGTTTTGCTGCCCAGTGTTTGTGCTACAAATATAAGAAAACACTTGGAGTTTCTCGATTACAGATAAGACAGTATAAGTTTTCTTTGGTATCCATCAGCAGGAAGAGAAATGACTACTCTGTATGTGAATTCCAGTACTGAGATCTCAGTAGAGAGATTAATTGGTCCAAATGCTGTCAGGTGATCAATGCTGGTCCAATCAACTGAGGCTTAACTATGAGGCCATGGTGAGAAGAGAGAATCTGATTGGCCTAGCTACCATCTGGTGGTTACTGCTGGTCTAGTCAACTGAGGGTTGGCTGCCAGAGAGCTAGTGATGAAGTCCTGGTGGGTAGTTGCGGGGACAGGAGGCTGAGCAGCCTCCCCAACTGTGTCTTCTACCTAAGGCTAGGAAAAGTTTGAATGAGCCCTTGTGATGATCTCAAAATTAAATGGTAAGACTTCATAACTGCTGGCAAAGACAGAGCTGGAAGAATGCTGTGCTTTAGTAAGAATCCTCTAAACCTCTACCAACCAGATGTGACCATCTGGCTCTCAGGCCCCTGAACCCATCTTCTCTGCCCTGTATGGGCTCCCTCCAGTCAGTCAGAAGTCCTGATAGCAAGGGAACCGGGGAGAAGTCAGACCAACTCCAGACAGACTGATTCAATCAAACTTCATCTTACTGCAAGAGGGATACTCCGCGCTTCTCTCCTTAGAGTGCATAGTTGTGTAATGTTTATGATATCACTGCCTTTGCTGCTACGAGGAATGTCTGAACATTGACACACTGCTCAGAGCTGCAACCCATCACATCATGGTTGGTTACTGGGGTCTTTCATCCCTGATATTAATTTCTGAACCATAGCAGACTGGAAGGGAATATTCCAAGAGTTTTGAGGAGCTCTGCACCTCCTTCTGACATTTACAAAAGACTCTCTTCTGTTCCTTTGGGAGCTAATGCTGCTCCTCCGTGAAAGTGGGCCGCACCCTGAATTCTGAGCAGAGTCCTGAGAAAAGAAGACGGACAAACAGTGGAAATTCCATTCAAGTCAGGACAGAAGCCCCACCTCTGCTCTTTGTTCTGGAGCCTGGTTATCCCGGGCCTCCTGAGCCACGGGGGTCAGTGTTTTCAGCTGAGATGATTGAGTGCAGTTGCTAGGGGCTATGGCACATATCATCTATTGAAAGTTGCTCCTCCTGCTTTGCAGAGCCTCCGCTTCTCTGATGCTGACATCAGGGAGCCCAGACAACCTTCCTACCTCACCAGGCTGGTCTTTTTAGCTTTGCTCAAAACACCTTCTATTTTTCTACCTACGTCCCATTTCTTTCTGCTCGTGAAAGTATACACTCAGAAGCCAGAAATACCCATAAGCCTGGTGGTTTGTTTTCAGCAGTGCCATTGTGCCCCTTGGTATTGTTGAGGCCCAAGAGTTCTCCATTCAAAGAATATAAACAGTGATGGTCAAAAGAGAACCAGGCTGGAGTGAAGAGGTCAGAGTGTGGCCCTGCCACTCAGAGGCCACCATGCACACCCCATGGGTCCCCTGTGTATGATGGAATGATGACAGCATGCACCTGAGATGTGTAGGCACTATGTAGCTTGCTGCCTGGTGTGCAGTAGGTTATAAACATCATTTATGTTTTTATCATTATCACTGTTACTGCTGTTGAATTAATTACCTCAAAGCCTAGTTACTCCCAGTATTAAGTCAGTGCTTCAATCTCAGGGTAATTAAAATCCACAGTTTGAAACCACTCTGGCGAAGGAGCACTTCTTTACAGTGACATTAGCGGCAGCACAGCGCGCATAGTAGGCATACCAGTCCACTCAGACTAGAGGGCTGCAGTGCTACATCTCCCCCACCAGCTCCCAAGGTGCTCACACGAACTCTCTTAGGACCCCAAAGAACACATCAGTAATCTTATCAGATGAGCTCCCTGGAAGCTGATCTCAGTTTGTCTCCATCTTCCGTAGCTGTCTTTCTTCTGGACACTTCCTTGGGCCCTTCTAAATATAGGGACACTCACCCCCAGTCCACCACACAGGAAATGAGTCGTTCCTTCCATGTTACACCCTGCCCTCCATGAGCTCACATCAGTCCCCCCGCCCCTGCCTCATGGAACTTCTCACATTTTGCACATCTGGAATTTGGTCTGTACTTGTCCACTGAGGCCTCAGAAATCATGCATTACTCATCATTCTCTGGTAGTGCCCACAGGCTGCTTTGTGTCGGGGAGTGGCTCGAGCCATGCTTACCGCGTGAACCAGTGTCAGGAATCCCTTACACTGCTTTCCTAAGAAGCTAAAGCTATCCAGGTCTACTCTTCAGACCAAAATTTCCCCCTACAACTAGCGGAAGAACTGACTTGAGCGTATGTGCTCTGATAAAGATTCCAGCCGGGATGCCAAGACGATATCAGCTATAGAAGCCTTTCTCTACCCTGCCCTTATCTCACTCACAACCACCGGAAGGACCCACTGGGGAAGGCTGGTGGTGGAGACGAGGACTCTGCCAGGCAGCATAATGTTCTCCTACTCTCTGGAGTTTTCCTTTGCAATGTAATCCCATTAACGGTGTTACAGTCAAGATTTGGATTGGAGGTGGGAGTCCTCTATTCATTTGATCAAAAACCCTTACTGTGAACTTCGGTTCTGGACCTCTAGCCCCTAAGGGATTTCATCAGTCTGCAGGTACGGGTTCAGAATGCTTAGGACTGCAAGGATGTCAAATTGTGAGGTTTTTTAATTTGGGAGTTTTAACACATATACAATGAGATATCTTGGGGATAGGACCCAAGTCTAAATTCATTTTTGTTTCCTACATACCTTATAGCCTTCAGGTAATTTACATAATATTTTTAGTGTTCCTATGCTTTGACTGTAACCAATCACATGAGGTGAGGTATGAAATTTCCCACTTTTGATGTCATCCCAGGACTCAAGTTTCAGAAGTTAGAGCATCTTCAGTTTTGGATTTGGGGGTTAGGGATGTTCAACCTATAGTTAAAATTCTTCCTTGTTGCATTCTATTAGCAATGGGATCTGCCTTACATGAGATTCCTTTGCATATAGGATTTGCTCAGTGACAGAACAACAAGCTATTGTTATTTGCAAATTTATCAGCCAAAGGCTTGGATAGGACACCCCTGTCCTATCCATTGTCAGGGGTGGTGGGAGCAGAGAGAGGTCTGGGTGTGATGGTAGCTCCCTGGGTGGTAGCGGTCTTTATAAAGCCAGGTACAGGGAAGGATTTCCAGGCAGAGGGAACTGCCCAAGCCAGTGGTGGCAAACCTATGGCACTCATGCCACAGGGAGTACAGGGAGCCCTCTCCATTGGCACTAGAGCCAATTTGCCTCAGCAGCTGAGCATCAGGTAACAGTTGCTGTTTCTAAACTACAAACTTCAGTGTTGTGGTTTAATTGTACTGTTGGCACTTTGCAATACAAAAGTGGGTTTTGGGTTGTAGTTTGGGCACTCCGTCTCTAAAAGGTTCGCCATCACTGGCCTAGACACAGGCATGTGAACTTGCTGTGTTCTGGAAACTCACATGGTTCCAGCAGCAGCAGGACCTGAGACCTTCATCTGCCTGGTGACATGGTGCTAGGAGTTGTCCTAGCGGTCCCCATGTCCCCTTTAGTGCCTTGCTCCTGCTTGCCGTCTTCCAGGACCTCCATGCCTTAAATCAGCCCTGCGGCTATTTCCCAGCAGTTAGGGAAACACAGGCTTTTAGCCAAAGCCACTGTCATGGAGACTGCCTGGAACCTGCTCCCCACATTGGGTCATTCTTGTTCACCACCCCCTCCTTCCTCACCTCCACCATGGCGGCAGCTTCTGAGCTCAGCCTTAACACAGCCAGCCTGTATAGGGACAGCTCACAGCTGTCCCTTTCTCCAGCCCAGCGTGTTTAACGCCTCCAGGAAAAGCAATGGTGCATCTTTGCAAAGCAGGAGCAAAGGAGAAGGAAATCCACAACGCTCCTGTGCACACTTTCATGTGCCTGATTCTGAGAGCCTTTTCTCAGGTGCTGGTTTAAGAGTCCAAACGAGCTGGGTGTGTGTGTGTTTGTGTGTACGGACATATATGCTAAGGTGCTGTGACCTTTATCCATGCTGGCGTGTGTGTGTGTGTGTGTGTGTGTGTGTGTGTGTGTGTACAGGCACATATGCTAGGGTGCTGTGACCTTTACTCATGCCAGTCTCTCCTCTGTGGGCTTGCCTATTACCCGTGTGAGCCTGTGTCCTGCAAGGCCCACAGCCCCTTTCCCATCTCAATATCTGTCAACCTCTCCCTCCTCAGATAAGCCTTGTGAGCTCTACTGTTCACCCCTCGGGAAGGAGTCACCGCTGCTGGTGGCCGACAGGGTCCTAGATGGCACGCCCTGCGGACCCTATGAGACGGACCTCTGTGTGCACGGCAGGTGCCAGGTGAGCACTTTTTCTTACATCGCTGGTGAGCTTTGGAAGCGGACTCCCACTCGTCAAAGGGGCTTGGGGTGGAGGTGAGGTCTCAGGAGGTGAGAGTATAGACTTTCTCAAGGAGGCACCTGGTGGTTCTGTCCCCTTCAGCCGGCTGCAGGCCTCCGTGGAGCTGGGCGACTGTAAGGCAACAGCAGCAAAATCATCTCAAACCTTTTTAAATTCCTTTAGACATCACAATAAAAAGAGCAGGTAGGTGCTAGAATAAAGACTAAAGACTAGAGGATGCATGGGCAGGTTGTGTTCTGTTTACTTGCAAAAAATTTAGAGGCCTAAGTAAATGCCTTTGTCAGTGCTACACAGGGTAGAAGATATGGCTGGCTTTTCTGGAACATTCCACCTGATGGAATAATAGAGTCCCTAAACCTGTCTTGATATTGGGTGTCCGTGACTTGTTAGAGCACTCATGAATGTCGTTTAAGCAGGTAAAAAGAGAGGAGGGAGGGAGGAAAGAAGAAAGTGCATCCTCCACTTGGTTGAAGTCTGCCAGAGCCAATAGCCACTGCCAGCCTGTGCCTCCCTCCCAGCACAAGACAGTGACCCCAGCGAGGCAGAGGTCACCTGTGCTGCCTGTTTTTCCATCAGAATAAGCATCTTGTGATGTGCTAGCACCTGGAACGGGTTAAGAGACCTCGAGTTTTCAGCGTCTGATGGGGCAGGACTTAGGTGGTGCCTCTTCTCCACAGCAGGTGCCATCTCCTGATGACTCCAATCAGTGTGAGCGTGAAAGAGACCCCCAGTGGCTGGGTCCATCAGGGCTGCTGTAACAAAATGCTGTGGGCCAGCTGGATTGTAATAACCAGCAGAATCTGATTACTCACAGTTTTGAAGGCGGCAGAGTGCAAGGTGAAGTTGCCCTCAGATTCCATGTTTGATGAGGGCTCCTTCCCAGAGATGGCACCTTCTTGTTCTGCTCTCACATCATGGAAGGGGTCAGGGAGCTCTCTGAGGCCTCTTGTATGAGGCTGTAATCTTGTCCGTGAAGGTTCAGCCATCAGACCTAATCATGACCCAAAGGGCCTGCCTCCTATCACTGGCACCCAGGGAATGAGAACCTCAACATGGGAGTTGGGAGGACACAAATATTCTGACCACAGCACCCCCAGGAGCCTGTCTTCCCCATGGAGATGGCAGCACAGAATTGCCAGTCATTCAGCGTAGGAAGGAAAATGCTCCAGTCACACACACACCAGCATGGATAAAGGTCCTTCTTCCGGTTTTCACGCATCCTAGTGTGACCTCCCTGACCAACCCCTGTGTTAATCTCATCCAGAAGTCGTCCACCTGAGGGCCCCTGAGGCGCCTTCTGATTTTATTAGGAAAAGAACAAAGTGCTTTTCAGGGTCCAGGTGGCCCTTGTTGCTTCAGTCTCCACCTCCTCCAAAGCTAACACCCATCTTCAACCCTTGGTTTCTGGGAAAACTTACAAACATTTGAAAAAATGGGAATCTCTGGGGTTGTGGGGAAGAGACTTCAATCCGCATTTGTTGGTGAAGGTGTGGAGGCTGCTGAGCTTCAGTCAACTGCAAGCAGCAGACCTGCGTTATTCTCTTTGCTTCCCTAGTGCCTAGCACAGTGCGTAGGCATCAGTATTTTGGTGAGTGAGTGACAGAACAGAAGGGAGAAGCATAGCTGCAAGAGTGAAGTCTAGGATGGTCTCTGCAGCAGTTTCCCTGCAAAGTCCCAAGCCAGCCCCAAGCTGGGATTTTTCAGGGCAAAGCTTGACGAAACCCAGGCTCCTTTGGCACTGCCTGGCTTTGTTATCAAAAACGGGTAAGTGTGGGTGATAAATGCTTGGTGCCTGAGAGTCTTGGCAAGGCAAGCTCCCAGGGAAGGAGGCAGCAGTGTGTGCTCAAGCTCTGTCCTCAAGGCTGCTTCCTCAGGCAAAGAATGTGCAGGCGCTGGCCCTGGGGCGGTGTGAACAAAGCCCTTATCACTATTACTGAAATGAGGCATTGCTGACAGTTCTCTGTAAACCTGCTGGCAGGCCCAGTGTGGGATTTGTTTCCTTCCTAAATTGCGCACTTGCCCGGGCCATCTTGTATGCTCATGTGTGTTGCATCTCAGTGACCTACATTCTTTTGCTAACAGTTTCCCAAGTCAGAGCTCTTGTGCCCTTTAGCGCAATACCAGCTGGGCCACCACTTGCCCTTTGCCAGCACCTTCTGCGGTGTTCTTGCCAGCAGGGAGGTATTTCTAAGAACACTGAAATTCTCCAGCCAATGGGGGAGGGTGTTTCTTCCAGACATGATTTCAGCTCCTACTGCCGTGTGCCAATGGGCATCTCCGTGACCTTGGATTCGATTCCAGCATTTTAACTAGGAAGACTTTCCTGCATCGTGACTAAATAACTGTAAGTTCTTTAGCTGATGGAACAAGGTCAAGATGCCACTCAGGTCTTAAGCTGAGTAGTCTTAAGTCTGTGGACTTTTGGCATCATGGAACCTGCCCCTGCTCTGCACATGGGTGTGTCTTCATCAGTCCGGCTGCTATAACATGCTATAGACTGGATGGTTCATGCCTTCGCTTCTCAGTGTTCTGGGGTCCGGAAGCCCCAGGTTAAGATGCCAACATGGCTCTAGAAAGGGTCTTCTCCCAGGTTGCAGACTGCTGATTTGTTGTGGTGTCCTCCTGTGGTGGAGAGCCCTTTGCATCTTATAAAGGCACTAATCACCTCCAAAGGCCCCTCTTCCAGATACCTTTGGGATTCAGAGTTTACCGTACAAATTTGGAGGGAGCACAAACTTTATTCAGTCCATTGCTGACGTGATGGCAGGGACATTGAGGCACATGCCTTCCCATTCCGACACCACTCCACCTCCACAGACCACGTCCAGTCTGTCTCCTGTGTCTCTATCGCTGTCCTCGGTGCCTGCACTAACCAAGCAGAGTCAGGAGCACAGCGGTGCAGGCAGTGACTCCTTTCGCAGTGCTCTGTGGTGGTCTCACACTTCTCAGGGGCCTCACCTGGCCAATGAGGAGGACACACTTTGGCCTTCTCCCCTGGGTGGGTGCCCCTTGGTGACCTGCTGCCTCCAGGCAGCCCATCTGTCCTAGCAGAAAAGCTGCCCTGCCACTAGGTGGCAGCAGCCCCACCTGCAGGCACTTCACAAGGTTGAAACCCTCAGAAACAACTTCTGGAGGAAGTTAAAGACCATCTGCCATTATTCAAACATTATTCTTTCCTCAGAGAGACCCTGAAGATTAAACTTAGCTGATTCCTAAATCTCATGAAGCCCCAACTGAACATCCTTACATAAGCTTTGTAAATCAAGTGCTACAAATACAGTATGCCACATTCAATAACTGTCAAATAGAATGTTCTAGATTCCTGTGGTGCTTGTGAATGCGTAAATCAGGGAAAACTGGTTAGAAAATAACAGCAATCGTAATTTTTTAAAAGTCTCATGTATAGTGGGGAGAGAATCTGCATCTCTTCACTGATATAATTGACTGCAATGGTTAAAAAGTAGGAATCATCCACATTGCATGTAAGACAGCAGTTGTAGAAATATCACCATGGCATACTTACGGTAAGCCTTTCCTTTTTCCTTCAGCTATAAATTTTGCTATTTTGGGGTAGCAGAAGAACACTGGGAAATTTTAGGAAACATAGTAACTAATTGGTAGAAGAGGCTCCTACACGGCAGTTTGAGTAGATTCCACCAAGCTGCAAATAGCAGGCTGATTCAAACCATAACATGAAACATGGAAATATCATTTTATTCCATTTTGTGAGGACTGAGTTAAATTTCTTTCTGTGAGTCACAAATTGCTTAACATGCTGAAATTAAACTTAACAGCACTCATAAAAGAGGGAGGGAATTGAAGGGGAAGAACGACAAACATTGTGTGTTTTTCAGCAAGCCCCTATAAATTAAGAGTCCAATCATTAATGATTCCTACTCTCGGCCTCCAGAAGCAGAGAAGCCAAGGTCATAGGTCTTTAATAGGCAACTGGCTTCTGGAGCTACTGACATACAGTGAGTGAGTCACAGTGACACGTAGATTTAACAGTCGACAGTGGCCAGGTCCAAATATACCTGAGGTCCAGATATGCTTGGATTTTTTTAATGCTTTGTTAGTTTATGCACACTGGTAGCCGTTGAATAGGGTCTTACTTCCTTAAGGCCATAATTTGTGTGCATAACCTAGCCTCTGTGACACCAAAGTGAAACGTATTTAGGGCCTGTATGTCTCTTCAGGAGAGGTGTCTATGTTTTTCCATAAGAGCTGGACCACATGGGAGCCTTTGCTTTCATTCTGAAAAAAGAATCTTAAACGAGTGGATGTATGAGTGGGTGCTTTACCTGCAGGGACTAGAGTGGTTCTGGAATCTGGAGCTCACTTTCCTGGGCCATTTTAGGTGTCAAGAATTAATTGACCTCTCACTTTGTGTGGAAAGGTGAGCAGAATCACTGGTAGAATGAAGAATTGTAAGAGACTCTGGCCTTAGAGTAACTCTTTGTGGAGAACAGATAGCAACAAGGCAGAACAACACACCAGGCATTGATGCTTGGGCCTGCTTTCACCGGCGCCCTCCTTTGCTGCTTTTGCCACACTGTGACCGCGCAGCTGACTTCACAGTGTGTGGCTGTGGGTGCCAGACCTTTGTGGACAGCACCCCTCTAAGCCTCCGTGGTAAAGGCAGTATAGCAGAAGCCATAACAACGGACCAGAGAAGTACTCCACCTGTCTTTGGACAGCTAATACATAGAGATGTCATTGAAGGAACAAAGGGAGAGCTCAGAGCTGGAACAAATGGAGAGTCACAGCTAAACAGAAAGCTCAGCCTGAGAGTCCTAGACTTGGGAATGGAGGTTGGAAGGGAGGAGTTGCCTAAAAACAACGAGATGAGCCAAGGGCAACAAACAGCGTCGTTGACTGTGCCCAGTCCTGCTTGCCTGGTCAGGTGGGCTGCTGGGGAAAATGTGAGTGGGCTCCCTTCCAAAGTGTGAGGCACATGGTTCACAAGAAACCGGAACTGGGAGTATGGCTTTCATGCTTGAGGCACTTACCTTTCTAGGTTTAGGGTAGATTCCAGCTTCCCTCCCACTCATCCGGACAGGAAATGTATCGTACCACACGGTCCACCATCAATTGTCGATCTCCTTCCACTGGCCTTGCAGTTCCTCATTCCCCAGTATGAGTGAGCAACCAGATCTCATCAGCTGTTTGAAGAAAATCAGCAGCATGAGCAGGAAAGACTAAGAAAAATAATTAGGAAAACTGAGCCTAGCAGAAAATTGACGCAATTATAGAATTCTGCATAAAGCCATGGTATTAGTCAAGCACATAGGCAAAATAAAGTCATTTTGAGATGTGGAAGAACTTGGAAATTTGATTTTCCATGTATTCATTCTGGAGAAATTACACATAGTTTAGCAAAACAAGGATGAAGTCAAGATAGAGGAAGAGGAGCATTATAGGCCATGGTGGAAATTACCAGGAGTCAAATAAATCCTGGCCTGACAGCTGTGCAGCTGGCTCAAATCTGTATTCAGTTAAGACCCAAAGAAGTCAGTGTCTCCCTCCAGCCAGCAGATAGGATGAGGCAGGAGGTAAAGTCAGCTACTAATTTCAAGAGAGCAAGTACTGTGCCAGAGGGATAGAGTAGTGGTAGACTGCCTACCCAGCATGCTCCAGGCCTTGCCATTCAGCCCAGTGTTCCACTCTCACCACGTCCTGATGGCTCTGGATTTATTCCACCTGTGCTCCCAGATAGGAGATGTGATCTAAAAATACAGTACATGCTTAATTTTTAAAAAGGTTTATTTTACAGTAAGACACACTGCGTTTAATCTCCCTTAAGATCCTCCTGCTTGCTTCAAACACGTTTATCCCCCATTCTTGCCACTTTCCAGAGTAGTTCTGGATGTCCTCCTTCATGAGGGTCTTCAATTGTGGTGTTCTGGCTGCCTCAGTTTCCTGAGTTGATTCAGAATGTTTACCTTTCAAGGTTATTTTGACTTTGAGAAAGAGCCACTGGTCCCCGTGAATGAGGAGGATGGGGACGCACGGATGCCTTTACGAGCCTGTCTTTACATGGTGCTCCACAGCAGCGTTCTCTTTGATCACACTTCCTAAAGACACTTAGGAAAACGAGTTTTCAGAACTGCTTTGGAAAGTGGCAAGAATGAGGGGATTGGTGTGTTTGAAGCAAGAGGGAGTATTTAAGTGAGATTAATGGCACAGTGTCTTTTACTGTAATTGTTTAAATTTACATTCATATGTTTCCGTTGCCCCTCCTATGTGCAAAAGAAGTGAGAGGGAAGCAGCATAATCCAAAGCAAATCTCAAGAAGCCTTCTGGCAGCGACGTAAAAATAATGGTGATAAAAGGATTAATCCACTCCGATCGACTAAAGCTTGACAGTGCTACATTTTCAGTGTGAAGATGTGTGAGTAGATATTATGGAAGATTGAAAGTGAACTCACATCATGGAAAAAGCATATATCCATATGTATCCATCTGTATCTATATCTGTCATCTTGTTTATAAATTAACAGCACTAATAAGCTGAAGTATGATAAACTTAAAAAAAAACCTGTACAAGAAAAAAATCCCCATCCAAGTATGAGAGAACTAAATGTCCTCAGGTTAGAAGAGGAATTGATGTCTGGGTGTCCAGAAGAAAAAAGGCAGGGATCCCTTTTTGAGAAACAAGGTCTCTAACTCCAAGTTTTATTCAGGGCTTACCTTGGGGACAAGGCTTCATTTGAACGCATTTATTGAAGAGGTACTATGTCTCAGCACCCCACCAGCCATTGTGTATGTGGGTAGGGGGACAGGAATGCAAAGATTATAAGACACAGTGTTCTGTGTACTAAGGATCTGTTAGGAAGATAATTCGTACAGGGGACCCTAACTGCTAGGCACAGAGGCATGATTAAGAGCTGATAAGAGACTGAATTTAGATATATCAGAAAGCACAGAGTGGAATTTGGTTTATTGATGCATCAAATCTTTGTTGTACACATTCACATGCCAGATATCAGTACACACGGTGGGACCTTCTGTAGGACAACGTGATAGTAGGGGAGAGTTTGACACCTAAGACGCCCTGTGTTAGAGCTGGGAGAAGCTGTCCAGACCAAGTGAGATAGAGTATGTAGAAGTTGTTTAATGAAATCCTAACTGAGGTGTAAGACAAGCCAGGCATAAAGTCAGAGACTCCCAGTGACAGAGCAGAGGTGTGTGTTAGAAATAAAAAGAAGCCTATGTAGGAAAGATCTAGAACGGTGAGTACCTGAGAGAGGCGGGAAAGCCCAAGGGGAAGGTCCCAGTGACATGCAGAGCTAGGGCAAGGGGCAGCTGTGGTGGTGCTCACCCTGTGGCTGGCTTCCAGCCTGGAGACTATGACGGTGGAGCTCTGAACTAGAGCACAAAGCGGCACACACACAGTCCCCAGGCTTAGCACTGGCACATTTACTACACTCTCTGTTTTGAGCAGGATTTCTATTCTTGGCCACTTCGTATGCTAAACCTGAATAATCTTATACCGAGCAACTTCCAAGCAACAGCTAGGAGGGCCAGATGTCTAGCACAGCCAGTGTCCCCCAGGTCCCATTGGGGTGATCTGCCCCAGCATGGTGTCACAGTTGACTGCCAATCACATCTCTGTCTTCCATTTTTTATTAGTACATGTTTCATCTGTGTCTTAAAGTGTCACCTAACTCTTCGGCTGCCACAAAACCCACTCTGATGTGTTAGTTCCTTACCTGGCATAGGACCACTTAAACCTCCAACGTTGCCCTTTACCTGTTCTTGTACCATGAACAAGTGTGATCCTTTTTTCACGTGCTGCCTTTTTTAGTGTTTGTAATGATGATTTGTAGATTAAACTAGCTCAGCTCTTAGCACATCTTAGTCTTTACTGAAATATATCCAATTATGCTGCCCTTTGGGGGCACACAATAGTAATTTTCCGTTAGTTTTTTTCCCAAAGGCATAAAACATCTAAGGATGAGGCCCTGGGATTTTGAATAGGAAATCCACTCATCTGACCATTTGAATTAGGAAACACTAGTGTAATGGTGTTTGTAAGGTGGTCCCAGGGCAACATTGTCAACATCACCTGGGAAATGTTAGAAATGCAGTCTCAAGCCTACCCTGCTCTACTGGGTCAGAAACTCCAGGGTGGAATCTAGCAATCCGTGTTTTAACAGCCTTTCCAGTGAGTCTGGTGCCCATCCAGTTGGAGTATGGCCACCGTGATGAAGCAGAAGGTTCTCATTCCGCTGCAGATCCTGGGCTTGGCATCTGCCTCCAGGGATCTGCTATTCATCTGGCATCATCTAGTATCATCAATTCATCCCGCAGGTGGGAGTAGGAGTGAGGAGGGCAGCATACAGCCTGTTCCTCTCTAAGTAGCTCAGAAAGAGCTAATCTGCCCCAACCTGGGATCCTGATTTCCTTTATGACCTGAAGCACCAATATGTAGCTGGGGTGCAGGGCTTTTCTTATTCTGGGAGTATTTGCCTTAACACACGAAAGTGAAGAGGGACACTGAAAGCAATTGAGTGAATAAACACCCAGTCTTTATCTAACATAAACTTAGGTTACTTTGCAGATTATCCAATTCTCCTCAATGCACACACATGATGAGTGTGTGTGTGTGTGTTTTTGTGTTTTTTAGAAAAAAAGCAAGAATTGCCATTTTCTACTTCTCGTGAATCTACAGCTTGCATCCTAGACCCACCAAGGGTGGAGGTTGCCTTCCTCTGATTCCAGAAATCACTTACTGAGGTTTGAGCACTGTGGACGTTTTGCTGAGCAGGTCTCCTGAGAGCAGACTAGGGGCCCAGATCTGGCTCTTCTTCCACGGGCTCTGGGCCTGCCCTTCTCAGCGGACACCAGTGTAGTGTCTTCTGTAGGTTTAGACGGTTGGCTGTTCTACCAAGACTGGCTGACCCACGTGGCCCCAAAGCGAACACTGATTATGTGAAATTGTGGCCACACCAGGTGGTGCACGGGAGCCAGCTTTACTTCTTAACCAGCATGTCTGCCTCAGCTGCCCTCACGTGGAGCCAGGGCTTCAGAACTTTTCCGGGTCCCTTTCCTCCAAAGCACTTGGTAGAAATACATATTTTAGAACAATGTGAGTATAGAGACAAAATATAATCCTGGCTGGCTTCTGTTTATTTCTTTGTCTCTTCTGACTTTAAAAGAATTAAAATACTTTCTTAGACCTCTGAAGTATTGGTGGCCCAGGCACGGTCCCTGCTGGGCCTAATGAGAATCACCTCTTCAGGGCATCTGCTTTAAAAACCCTCTGACCCTTAAAATAATGCAGCCCTCTGGTTTCTAGAAAATTGGCTGTGATGGCATCATTGGGTCTGCGGCCAAGGAAGACCGGTGTGGCGTCTGCAATGGGGATGGCAAGACTTGCCGCGTGGTGAAAGGTGACTTCAGCCACTCCCGGGGGACTGGTGAGTACGGGGGCCAGGGCTGTTGTTAGTACTGAATGGGCAGTGAGTGCCTCCTTGGCCCAAGAGCTAAGGGTTTCATACATCCCTGCCTTTCTTATTTAAGGTCCAGATAATAATGGATTGGTGAGATACCATTTCATTTCATTTCTGAAAGGAAGGGAGGAATGATGTCTTTAAATTCCTAGAAGTGATTCCTTTGCTATGCAAGGAAACAGCTCCTGAGGCTGAGCCGCTTAGTCCCAGTGTCCACGAATCAGCAGCACCCAGCTTGCTCCATGTCACCTTCCTGTCAGGCAATTTTTTTATGGTCAGAGGACGTGGCAAAGGCACTGCCACATCATTTTTACTTGTTGGTAGGTGTGGTTTTCTCTGTTTCCAAATTTTCTGTTGGTAAATGTAGGGTAGCATTTGCATGCATCTATGAAATGTGCATGAGAAAGCATCAGACGCCTCTGTCTCTGGGTGGGACCTCAGGGCAACCAAGGATCCTGGTTCCAAACCTGGACCTCTCCGAACAGCATCACCACAGAGGTAAACCAGCATTCACTCGGTGAGATTTCTTAGTCTTTCTGCTAGCGCCAGCTTTGCCGCTGCAGGCTGCTTTGTTTAGAAGTGACAGGTGGTTTTCGGATCCACTACCCTGGAGGACACCAGTTTGTGACAGCCAATAGCATCTGTGGATGATGCTTATTAAAGGGGTCAGTGAGAGTACCCCAGCTTCTGGGTTGGCCTTGTGACTTTGACCTTTTCTACTGGAGCTATGCCAGCAGTTTGGAACAAAACCTCTGCATTTTCTGAGGGGTTACCAATTCCTTTTTTTTTTTAAAAAAAAAAAAAAAACAGAAGCATTAGAACTCTTCATTTAAATTGAATGTTGTACCAACCTCCAATAAGCGGACCTGCTACAATGGTGCCACTCTATGGCAGGCAGGTTAAACATAGCCATATCCACCCCTGCCCCGAGACAGTTCAGTTGAACACTGAAGGTTCTGCCATACACCTTTAAAAACCTCCACTGCATGCACCCAAGCAGCTCACTTACTTACCACACCCCACATTAGGAGCAAAAGCATCCTCTCTATTCCAAAACTGTGATCTGCTTGCTGGCCTTTTGGCCTAGGCAGATCATTCCCCTATCCACAGTAACATCCTTTCTCCTCTCTCTCCATCCACCCTGTGCTGGGCGTCCTCTATGTGAAGGCATAGCCTTCTCCCTGGCAAGGTCAGACCTGTGTGGCCCTGACAGAGGGTCCCTCATGGAAGGACACATCCTGTGGGAAGTTTTCTTGGGCTAACCACTGCCCCAACCCTGACTTAGAGTTTAATAGTACGCTTCCCTCTAACTTTGGAAGCACAAAAGCTGTAGAAACTTCCTTTGGAGAAACAGAGGCACATGTTGTAAGTGTTCTTAAATTCCTAGTGGTAGCTAAATATCAGATGTTCATTCTAAAGCATAAGGCTATTTTCAAATGCTCACCATTGGAGCCTATGAGCATAGAGCTGTACCAGCGTGGATTCTGCTTGGCGGAAATCTGTGCATAGCGTTTGTTCCCAGGTGGGTGCATTGCTGGCTGCCTATCTAATGGAACAGAACTAAACACAAACCTATAATCAGGGCCTGACACCCTAGGATGCACATAGAGGGACTGGCAAAGGGTCACCCACACGTCCATTCCCCTAGCAAACGTGTATTCAAACAGGTCTATTTTAGACACGAGGTACACAGAAATGGAAGGTAGCTGTCACATGTCCATCACAGTGGATGTGAAGACCCCCAAGCACCCAACTTGAGTCCCTGTGAGTGTGGCATAGTTGAAGCTCAGTGGAGGTGTTCTGGGGTGCCATATTCTGGTGTGGCACCTCGTCTAGGCCCGCAGACACACAAGGTGACCTCAAGCCATCAAGGACAGATGAAATCAACTAGTGACCCAGTCAGGGAAGTACATGAAGGCTAAAAGAGAAAAGAACATTCTTAGGAGACTCACTGTAAAAATCCTAAAAAAAAACCCTGGTCATTTGACATCTGAGTGACCCAGCTGAGTGGCTGTGATAATCCTGTCAGTACAGATAGGAAGGCAACTTTCATCTGTGCCAAGCTCCAAGGAATGAGGGAAGGAGGAATATCTTATCACCCTGCAGGGTCACTATCAAAGAGAAATACCATACCACAGAGATAAAACAGAATCAAGTGCAGGCTATTTGCCCAGTTGTGTGAAGCCCTGACCCCTGCCTGAACTCTCCGGGGTCCTCTTACCGAAGTTTATGAACTGAGAATCTAGAGCAAAACCACACAGGGTGCGTGTCACAGCCACAGCTAAGCAGAAAGCCCAGGATTTCCCACCCTGGGGCAGGAGACACCCCAGTGTAGCATGTGGGGAAATGGTGTCCTGAGTATAAAGTGTCTGTTAACCTCCAGGCTGTGGCCTCCCAATTCTAAATGGATAAGGTGCTTGGCTTTAGAAGGAGTCTGTTCAGCCTGGTTTTCTGATGGATGGGCTTAGGAAATGCTCAAGCCTTGGGGTGGGCAAAAATAGCTGGGCTATTTGAACATAGTAGGTTGAAAGTTCCTGATTTACTTTCCCCCTCATTAAATTGTAATTTCAACATTCTTTGTATTGTATCCTGTTCCTTGGTAATGGCAATGTGGCCGGTACTCATGGACATCTAGGCCACACCTGGACTAATGTCCCTACCAAGAACCAACTAGGATGCCCTGTAGGCTCTGCATCTCTTTGTACTTTGTTATTCAAACAGTAGCAAGTGGACAGATTCATGTGTCACATGTTTATTCAGTCATTAGTTTCGGAGCCGGCCATTTCTTAGCTCCATACTGTCTCTGGTATGGGGTACAGTTGTTCTGTGGGAAAGTTCATGGATGTCTGATGCAAACATGTCATGAGGCTTCTTTCTGCTCCAGTTAAGAATGACAATATCTGTTCCTAAAATGTACATCTAACTCAATTCCAACATATTTCTTTTTCTTAGTCAAGAACAGTCTTTGTACGAAGGTGTCCACATGTGTGATGGCAAAGGCGATTCCCAAGTGTTTCTCATGTAAGATGTTCGGCTGTTACATGTGGCCCCCTTGGTGACATGCTTGGTGTGGGGCACTTTGTCACTTACGTGCCTGAATGTTCTCTGAATAGAATCAATGGGAATGAGTCATGCATGAAGCCATGAATAAGCACAAGGTCCATTTATTGTTTATATGTAATTAATGTTCAAGATTGATTGCTGAAAACTGCAGAATAAAACCGATTTTAAATATAAAAAAAGATAAAGAGTCTTGGGATCAAGAGGCTGGATAGAAACATGCCCTAGCATGCCAAGGTTTGGTTTTTGTCTTCAACCATACCTGGCACTTAGGCAGAAAAAGCTAAGGCATGCCAGAGAGTTTAGCCTCAGTTGATAACTTCCTGTGGGGGGAAGTTTCCATAGCAGAGGACAGGATTTCCCTTTGGCAGAGGGGCACTTAGTAAAACCTGCCTGGTCTTCATGCTGGAGGGAAAGGCAGTGACCTTGATTTGACCTATGCACACTGGAGTTGCGTTCCAGGGAGTGAACTAAACTATGGTCTATCATTATAGGCTTCTCAAGCAATGAGTTCTTTTTACTCAGGCCCAGGAGCGACCTTTAGCGATAAGTGAAGACAAAAATGACCACAACTTACAGTGGTTTGACTCATGACTTTTCAAGTGAATGATGACACTGAAACAATACACATCTAGCAGAATCCACTATAAACTTTGCCTGATCTTTTCCTGGGCTAGAAATATGCAATCTGATTCTCTGTCAACCACTCTGTGCTCATGATGGAAAACAAGCCGTGCTCTACAGTGTGCTGTATGCTACGCCATGTGTTCAGTAGCTGACAGCACTTTTGACTTAAAATATTTTCAATTTATGATGAGTTTTCAGGACCTGACCCAATCATAAGTCCAGGAGCATCTGTGCTCTCATAAGCAACTTTTTAAAAAAGCAAAAGACATAAACTTACACAAAAGCCTTTCTGAATATCTGATGATTTATTTGCAGAGAAAAAATACTGTTTTTTTTTTTTCCGTAAGTTTTATGCAACCTGGGAGAAGAGTGCTAGTATACCTAGCCAGGATTTTCCTTGTGCCTTATCATGCTAATATATAATGTCAATGATTTTCTTCCAAATGCAGTTAATGCTGTTGAAAGCACGAGAAAAAATATGACCACCAATCATCTAAAAGCAAATCTTTGGGGAAATTTTGGTTAACTAATTTCACAGGGAAATGTCATCACATCCTAGTAGATTTAAAATAGGTTAAAGGTCAGCATCACTAGAAAGTTCCTCCTGACAGCTAGCCCTTAAGGCGAAAATGTCACGTTCTCCTAGAACAATGGCAAAGGCATTGAGTTCTACCCATTCTTCCCATGACTGCCTCGTGGAATCAAATCATGTCCCTCTTACTGGACTTCTGTTTCTTGATTTAAGACTCCAGTGGACTCCAAGATAAGGTCTTGCCCCCTTGCCTAAAATGAGAACCTGTCTTGTAAATTCTTAAAGTAAATTCTTGGTTAGTTCTATTTCATGCATGATTCAATGTGAGCGTGTCTAGTATCTACATAGTAGGGCATCTGGGCTGAGAAGTGACAAGGTGCTTGGGACTTGGTGATGGGACGCTTTCCTTGCCTGGTTGCTTTTCAGGTAAACCTAGTGTGAGCTCTGAGCCCTGGGATAGAGTATGCCCTGGGGGACAGTGAGTTTGAGGCAGTTTCATTGTTTCGAGAACAGAGGGCAATGTTTCCTTTCAGGGACTTTCTCTTTAACTGATTCTATCTGTATCAAGAGAAAGAAACTCATCATAAAAGGAGAGCTTAGCAGAGGCACCACGTGACAGCGCTGCCCTGAGAGGTCACCTAAGGATGAGCCCTGCTTGGGTCACACGCCTGCCCTGAGCTTTGCGCTGTTCAGCATCTCCTCCCCAGGCCTGTGAGAAGAAGACAGAAAACAGATGTCATTTCAGTGTTGCAACGTGTGCCAGAGTTAAGCTTAAAAATAAACGTGTTGACCATGCACTGCTGCAAATGTACCTGCTCTCAAATGTGGAAAATTAATGAATCAGGACCTTAGCAGCTCCAGCTGTTGCCTCAGATTGTGCAGACTGGTGGGGGCTAATGCTCAGATTTGTTTGTCACAAGGTGGAAGGAAGATTCTACACCACAGTGGCTCCTTTCAGAAGATAATTCACCTCCACAAGTAGATCCTGATCCCAGGTGTGTTAGGCAGTTAAAATGCAAATTCCTCTGGAAAAAAACATGAATTTCTTTGACCCTGAACAATTTTGTTTCAGTTTAGGATGCTTTCCTGTTTTAGATGCCTGGAATCCAATAATTTTTCAAATTCCCCAGAAAGAATTGATTTCTCTAGGAGATATTTGTGGCGTAAAACCCATGCTGTTATCTTAGAGTTGTTGTTTTGCCAAAATTTTAAAGTAGGGAAGCATTCCTAGAGCAAAAATAAATTTAATTAAAAGCCCTTATAGCAACTCTGGTGCAGGGACTGAGGGCAGGCCACCTGTAAGGCAATGTTGCAGTTCCCAATTTAGATGCATTTGAAAGGGATCACGCTTAGAGGACCACACAGTGGGTTAAAGTCGTCTTGCCTCGGGCTAGGACAGATGAGGGTAGAAAAGTTAGGCAACTGCTGCCCTCAGACTGGACTGTGTTTACATTTGTGAAGTCTCTCTAGTCATCTAGTAGAACATTTACTTGAAACATCTGGGGCTGAATCTATAGTAGCAATGCCAAGGAGTTTGCTGTCAAAACTGAACTGGTAAATTTTCTGGCCAAAGATGGCTGATTGAACAAATGCTTACTTCCTCATCTTTCCAAAAGTCAGCTGGAAATGAAAGCAGAGGAAAAGTTTAAGAGGTCTAAGAAGAGCAAAGATATCTCAGGTGGGAGTTCATATATAGGTGAATCAGAATCTGCGTGCTTGGTTTTTTAGCAATAGACAAAGAAATAAAACACTGTGTAAAGACCCTGCGGGTCTTGGTGGCCTTTCACAGATTTATTTCTTGATCTTGTTTTCTACCCTCTAGCATTGGCAGGAGGATCAGCATGTAGTGGTCACTCATGATCCTAGGCTGGCAGAGACTCTGTCACGCAGTGCCACGGTCAGCGTGACAGGAAAAAGGAAGTATGTCAAACCAGGCCCTGAAGCTATTAAAACTCCTACCTCAAAGTGACACATGGACTCATATATTACTGTTCACAGTGAATCACATGGTCGTACAGGTTCAAAGAGCCAAGGAAATATATTCCTACCATGTTTCCAGAGAGAGCCTTGGAAGTTGAAGTTAGGGCTATAGCAATCTTCCTGCCTTCTGGCGTTTTGGTTGCCAACATGTAACAAGAGCTCCCTGTACCACCAAGTTAAGGCCAGTCCTGACACTCAGCAGACCTCACCCATCTATCTGCACAGTCGGCTTGTCCTTGGCTTTTTCCTGAAAAGAGAGCCTGCAACACAAATGGGAAATAGAAAACTAAAACTGATCCATGGCCCAAAGAAGATGTTATAGAATTTCAAAATTTCTAATAAACATTTGTTTCTACAAAGGATCATTTTTATCGGAAAGAGTTAAGATGCGATTGTATCCATAAGACAAGAAGAAGATGCTGTTAAGAAAACATCCAGCCATCAAGAAATCAACCAAGAACACACGCTGGCGGGGCTGTAGGAAAAAAGGAATCCTTTCCCACTGCTGGTGGGGGTGTAGACTCATGCAACCACTGTGGAAATCAGTGGAGATTCCTCAAAAACTGCACCTAGAGGTTCCATTTGACCCAGCTGCTCCCATTCTTGGTATCTTCCAAAGGAATTAAAAGCATCATAGCACAGCGATCTATGCTTACCCATGTTTATAGCAGCAAAATTTGTAATAGCTAAATCTTGGAAACAGCAAACAAACCAACTACAGAGTTGGGATTTTGATAGAGATTACATTAAATCCGTGAAACAATTTGAGAATTATTCCTGTTACCCTTCTGATCCATGAACATAAGATGTCTTTCCACTTACTTCGATCTTCCTTAATATCTCACAATGTGTTATAGTCTTCAGTGAACAAATCTTGAAGATCTTTCCCTAAATTTATTCCTGAGTTTTTAATTCTTTTTGATGTTAAGTCAAATTGTTTTCTTAATTTCATTTCCCAACGCTTCACTCCTAATGACTAATAATGTATATAAGTCAAATTGACTTTTATATATTGGCCTTTGGAATCTGTCCCAGTAGTTATCATATTCCTCAGGATTTTCTGTATATAAGATGTTGGCATCTGCAAAAATAATTTTATTTTCTTTTTCCATTCTGTATGTCTTTTATTTATTTTCTTGCTTAATTTTTCAAGAGAGCAATTTCAAGACAGTGTTAAACAGAAGGAGCAAGACATCTTTTTCTTGTTTATGGTCATGAGGACAAAGCATTCAGTATCTCTCTGTTAAGTGTGATACCAGCTGTGGTACTTTTTAGGTGCTCTTTATTAGGATGAGGCTATCCCCTCCTAGTTCTAGTTTGTTTGCTTTTTTATGTCATGGTGTTGAATTTTGTCATTTTTTTACATGAGCTCATCATATGGGTTTTGTCCCTTAATACAGTGGATTACATTGATTGATTTTCATATGTTAAACCAACCTTCCATTCCTGAGATCAATCATACATAATTCTTTTTCTCTGCTGGTGAATTAAGTTTGCTACTAGTTTGTTGAGGGGTTTTGCATGCAAATGTATACATACAATTTATTGTATGTATAACATAACATAGTAGTGAACATCTAATAGCAAGTAGTGAACAAGTAGTGAACATCTGATAACAACCTGAATATCTAACAAGGGAGTAGTTATATAAACTACCCAGCAATTTAAAGAAAAAGGTAGTAGAACTGTATATAATAACATGTATGATCTCCAAGATGTATTATGTTTTTAAAAATAACAAATATAGCATAGTATAATATTGTTATATTGTTATTCCTAACATTTATATAAAATACAGTAAAATGTAGGCATCCTATGGCATATGTTTATTTGTATAGATATATGTACAAAATAGTAAGACACATAAATTAGTATGTATAACATATATGGCTGGTCGTGCTGTTTCCAATAAGAGTGAGGACTGTAGTTATGCAGACTCAAGGTTTGTTTTCTTAATATTCTCACCATGAGAAAATAAGCTCATGTATTTTATACAAATTTAAAATACATGAGCTGTTTCCAAATGAAAATGAACTCACTGATACACATAAAATTACATTCTGATAAATCTTACCCTAAACCAGGCAAACGTCTTGTCACCTCACCACACTGTCCTGCCTCTCCCTACCACACAGGTTGGTCCCCTTAAAATTTTGAGAGAACCAGCGCTGGATCTAGGTAAGAATACTGTAATAGGACAGTAACAAAAGGACACAGAAAACAAATGATTGGTTTAAAGCAACCACCAGCAAGAGATTACTAAGGAAAAGGTAAAAAAATGTGATCAAACTTTTGCCATCAATTCTAAAAACGAATTAGTCAATAACCTCAATAAAACAAGAACATACAGCTAAGACACAAGACCTCAAGGAAGATACAGTGAAGCAACAGAGGGAGATGAAACTTAGTAAAACAAAGGAAAGAAGTAGAAGAAGTTTGTGAATTCATCACAGAAACTAAGTCCATGTGGAAAGAAAGACTGACACTGTTGAAATCACAGTGGAAGCCTGGGAGGATAGACTTCTCAAACACAAGCAAAGAAAAATAAAAATGAGTCAAAAGAATAGGAGATAAAATGAAGACCATGGAAGATACAGGAGATCAAACATCTATAATTGGATGCCCCTCTCAAAGAACACCAAAGAATATAAAAAAAATTTAATATGAAACTGGTCCTCTGCATGTTCTGTGTCTACAGTCAACCAACTGGAGATTGAAATTATTCATTACAAATTGTATCTGTACTAAATGTGAAAATATATTTTCCTTGTCCTTAGCCCCTAAACAATAGAGTATAACAACTATTTACATAGCATTTACATTGTAGTAGGTATTATAAGTCATCTGGAATGACTTAAAGTATAGAGGAGGATATGTGCAGGTTATAGGCAAATGGTACATCATTTTCTCTAAGGGACTTACGTGAACACTTGCAGACTGCTGTCTGAAAGCAATTCCTGCAGATACTGAAGGATAGTTGTATTAACAAAAAAAGCCCATGTCCCACAAAAAGTTGGTACCAAACTATTACTAGCCTCATCACCATTTAACTTTAAAGGTAAAAATCCTTTGAGCAGCCCATCCAAATTTTAGGTAACAGTAATGTGGAAATATCAGATTATCCTCAGTCACTCAGTGGAGTAACTCCTACAAAGCCTCAGAGCAAGTAAGCATGGCTCCACTATTTTATACCTGCCAAACTGACATTAAAATATAAAGACAATGAGTGGTAACATTTTGCTATGTCATATATCACAAAATATAATTTCCACATGCCTATTTCAAAGGCAACAAGTGAGATGAGCAATAATTTTGGCGAAATTGGTGAAAGGACACGTAATGAACATTAAAGTCACCCTTTGAACCAAGACTAGGCAGTTGTGGAAATTGCCTTAGCAAAAGATTAATGAACTAAATAGTGTATATCTTGGCTCTTTGCCCACCTATGAACAAAAGAGAGGGTAGGAAAATGTAAATATGAGAAATAGGGAAAGCAAGTATAAGGGGCTGGGGATTTAGCTCAGCAGCACAGCGCCTGCCTGGCAAGCACGAAGTCGTGACTTCGATTCCCAGTACCAGAAAAAAAAAAAAAAAGAAAAGAAATCAAGTATAGAAGAAATTAACTGTAAATAAGTTTACTTATTTTATAGTTTAAACTACAATTTAAAACTACTTTGATGCAGGTGGAAAAAGTAAATTCCCAACTGTGCTCTACATAAAATTGAAAATCTATGCAAATTACTACAGAAGCGGAGAAATATTTTTTATTAAAACAAGAATAATACTAATACCAAAACCCAGTGTAACACCCACACACACAAATGATTGCAGATCATTATTACAAATGATAGTGGAAAAGTTATAAAGTAATTAATATTAGTTCTAAATATAACAATTCAGCAGCATATTAGAAATAGTATAAAATGGGCTAGTAAGGTTTACTCTAGGGCTGTGAAGTTGTTTTGATATTAGAAAATATCCTTATTAGAAACACATTTGTACTATTAATAAAGCAAGAGAAAAAATAATCATGCACTAGAGGCTGAGGAAGACTATGATGAAACAATCTACAGTCCTAATAAAACTCATATTGCTTAATATGATTATATTACATAGTGTTATATATGAGATGTTATGCATCCTGTATTCCCATATAAATAATGTAAGCCCACATTATATTCAAATGCAAAATAATCACTCATTAAAATGAGAAATGAAACAAGGGTGTATATTCTCTGCAGTAATATTTAACATTCGTAACAGTGCTTCCCACTGAAGAGATGTTTGCTGTGAGAATGTAATAGGTGTCACCTGTCGGGTTAAGAGTTCTCTTTTATCTGAGTGTTAAGAGCTTGAAGTGGCATTGTACTTAATCCAGTGCTCTTGTGCCTCTTCTGAGATCATTGTGTTGTTTTTATCCCAGGCACTTGCAAGGCCTCAGAGCACTTGAACTGCAGTCACATGGCTAAGATGGGGTGTGAGTTGGTATCCTTTCAAAGGATATTATTATTTCATATATATGCTGCTGACTTTCTTAGGAGTGATTTTCTTAGTGTGATGGTATAGGTCAATTGTTATTTGAAGTGTGTATTATTTTCATAATAACATAGAGATGTTTTTATTATTAGGAAAATGAATAAACCCTTTACAATAGGTATTTCCATAATCTCCACATAGTTAGGCCCTGGGCACCGTGCACTGCCAAATTGTGGGAGCTGCCCCTCTACTTGGAAATAATGAAGGAAACAGACAATAGTATATACTATAAGAGCTGCGGAAATAACTAAAGACAGTGGAAATGGAAATGGTGCACAGTAGGATAAGGCAATGGTTTTGTTATAGGGCAAGTTGCTTGGCTCTTGCGGTCATTCCATATATTTTTGGAGAAAAGTCAAACTACAACAAAGAGTGAAGGAACCTCCAACAGATGAAAGAGACCCGAGGACTCCTCACCCATGTACCTGGGAGGTACCATTCACGTAGGATTCCAGGCTGCATTTGTTGGCTAGGAATGTTGTGGCAAAGGGCCGCAACCTGGGTGGCATCTACAACAGAATCCTATTGTCTCACCATTCTGGAGGTTGGGGATGTGAGGTCATGGTGTCAACATTGCTGGCTCGTAATGAGGCTGCAAGGGAGAATCTGTTCCATTCCTCTCTCCTGACTTCTGGTGGTTTGCTGGGAATGCTTGGTGTTTCTTGGCTTGCCAAAAGCAGCACCGCAGTCTTTGCCTCACGGTGTTCTCATGGTGTTCTCCTGTGTATATGTCTCTGTTCAAAATTCCCCTCTTTAAAAGGTCTTTTGTCGTATGGGATGAAGGGCTCCTCCTGTTCCAGTATGATCTCATCTTAACTAGATTCATCTGCGCTAGTGCTATTTCCAAATGAGATCACATTCAGGTACTGGGGGTTAGGGTTTCAGCTTACAAATTCCAGGGAAGCGGGGTGGTTTTAATTCAATTTAGAACACATGCAAATAGTGCTTTCAGAAAATGGGGGCCCAAGAGTTTCTGGCCCTGGGAGGAAGCGCTCTACATTAGTTGACTAATTGGATTTTCAGAGCCCTGCTAGCCTGCAGCCTCTGAATCTACCACAGTTGTGTGAGACGGGAGACTGAGGAGCCGGGAGGCCCTGTCGGCCTCTAATCCAGGTACGAGTGTGGTTTACTTGTATGTCCTTTGTTACCACAGGTTATATCGAAGCTGCTATTATTCCTGCTGGAGCTCGGAGGATCCGCGTGGTAGAAGATAAACCGGCTCACAGTTTTCTGGGTAAAACAAAAATGATTTGATTTACAGTTGCTGATTGACTGTTGATTTTTATAATTAGGCTAGAAAGTTTTGTCCACCATTTTTCTGCCAGGTCAACTGAGTTTTACATCTGCACTTCCATTGTAATGACATAGTACTCAAAATGGACCGAACAGCACTGTCGCATGCAGCTAAGCGTGACCACCTCCAAGTGGTTTCACAGGCAGGGCACAAACCATTAGAACCACCAGCTTTGAATAGGAAGGAATATGATGGAAGGGTGAAAGAAGCTGTGAGCATCGGGTAGCATAAGTTTCCCCAGATCACCCAGGAGGACCCAGTGCAACTCTGGCCCATGCCGTGACCGTCCCTTGCCTGACCTGCATGGACCACCCCCCTGCATGTTATTGATGGCATTAGGGGTAACTCTGCTGGAAAAAGAGCAACAGGCTTAAATCAAATGGAAATTCAGGACAGTGCAGGTTTTCTCTAAGTTCTGTGTATGCCAAATTTCGGTTAACCCCACTGACGTCAAGCACAAATGCCTACATCTCTTGGTGAAATTGGATTGCATGGTGGAAGCATGGTTAGCGCGTAGTAAGAGAATCACCCAGTGAAACCCCTTGTCAGCTAGAAAAGACCCTGCACGTGCTGGAGGCTCAAGTTCCAGTTTTACCCTTGACTCCCCAGAGCTCAGCCTGCTACACAGCACCAGGGAGGTCGGAGCGCTGAGTCGAAGTCATGAGTGTTTATTATGCAGGCTAAAGAAGAAAGAACTACCCAGAGGTTACTTCTTCCTTAGTTTACTGGGATGGAAATGCTGTACGCTGTGTCCTTTTGCCAACCCCTATCCCTGGTCCTGACCTGGCTAAGAAGGCTGATCTTCTACCAGCAGCCCCCCCCTGCAAGTCCCTCTCAGCCTGTGTTGCAAGGTGCTGTTTGAGATGAAAGGGAGGGAAGGAGAGAAAGAAGAAAGGAAGGAAGGAAGAGAAGAAGGGAGGGAGGGAACGAGTGAGCAAGGGAGGGGGCAAGGGAGTGAGAGAGGGAGGGAGGAAGGAAGTGTAACTCCTAATTCTCTCATTATTCTCTTGTCTATGTCCTAGCTGCTGCTCTACAAATACTTGTATCATAATAATAGTTGCTCATACATGCTGTCTGAAATAGCCTTCTGCTGTGCTTGGCAGCTTCTTTGGCGTGATAGCCTTTTTACTAGGTTCTCATAGAACCCGCCCCTTCTCTTTCTGCTCAGGAAATAGGGTCGACTTCAGTAGCCTTAACATCAGAAGCCCCATCACCTAGCGTCACCCCAAATGTTACCCTCCCCAACTGGTCCACTGGGGATTTACATGGTGTTTGTAGTCCCAGGGGGCACTAGACCACCATGGGAGCCTGAAGTCACCTTTCACTCTTATTAAAAAATCACCTTCAGGTTATCCTGAGAATTGGCCCAATTCTGAGAGCAATTTACTGGTTCTACTGTAAAGCACCAGCAGGTGCCCCTGCAGATAAGTCTCCTGACTTCCCATCCTGGCTTCTGAGTCTTCCTAGTACCATTTCTCTGCCTGATCCCAGTCCTGGGGGCCTGGAAGAAAAAAAGGACATGTTCTTTCTCTCTGCTCCTCTGCAGCAATAGTAGAATCGAAGCTTTACCTTAGTCCTTGGGTAAAAATGAGCTTTGCACTAGAACTCTCTTTAGGATCAACAGATAATGTTGTGCAATACTGCCTAGAACAGCTAGCTCTTAGTGATTGTCTCTTTGAAAGCCGAAGGACCACATATGCTAAGAACACTACTATCCACTGTTGTGGCTCCCGATGGCTGCGCCATGCTGTGTGTTAGAGACCAGATCCCTTCTACCTCCAGAAGTGCTCCAAAGCATTGCTTGTTACTCCACAGGGGAGCAACAGACGCTCCCCGGAGCTTAGTAATGTGTGCAAAGCCCTCACATCACCTGTGCTGGCCGTGGGCTACGGAGCCTTATAGAAATGCTCCGTGGTGTCCCATCAGGGTCAGAGACTGGCCGGTGGAGATCTTTCACTGGAAAACACATGTTAAGCCTTCCCCTTGTTACGGCAGAGAACAAATCTCTCTCCCAAGGTTGATTTAAATGTCTCTGAACAACCGAATTCCCCAGAAGCATTGTACTTCTGTGGGAGCTTGGGACTAGACTTGGTCCCCTTATCTTATCCAAAAATCATAACTCTCGTATTCCAAGGCCTGGAACATGCACAAGCGCATGCCCGACACTCATTGTTTCTACGTTAGTTGCAGCAGGCCTTGTTTCCATTCGGGGCTGGGTGCTTTGGAAGTCAACCCAGTGTGACTTTGAATTACTCTCACATTTGCTGGGAGCAGTTCCTGAAGAATTTCACCCCACCTACCTTCAAGCCCACGCCTGCTGGCTTTCTGCTCCAAACCACCTGGAACAGGAAATGCCTCGGCAGTTTGTATCCATAGTTAAGAACAGAGCTGGCCGGACTCCGAGTGGAAATAAAAGGAGCTGAGTGGATGCCAGGATTAGAAGTAGGTTGACTGTGGGTCAGGTCTTCCTGTTGAATCCAGGAGGAAGACAGGCAAAGAGAGACCCACCAAGCTTCTGCACAGCTCCATGCCAGGGAAGGCTTTCGGGCAGGCTCAGAGCTCACATCTGCCTCCAGCCAGCTCTCACAGGGTGCCATGGCTCCCATCCAGGATGCCCCCTCTCGCCCTCTGGAATGATTCACCACCTTCCTCGGCAGTGCCTAAAAGACAGTGTAGAAATGTCCACCGAAAAGACAGACCTGCATGGATGCAGACGTTCAGCACCTTGCATGCTGGGCTACTGAGATTTTGTTGTGCCGTGATCGCCAGGAAAAGTGTGAATCCCTTCACCCCCTGTAACGCCTCACAAAAGTCTCTGCAACTGTTGAAAGCCTTCTGAGCAAAAGCCGCAAAAGCATGCTCTTATTTTATTTGAACAGTCATTTAAAACATCCAACCCCTGGCCCAGGCACAAGTAGCCAGGGAAAGTCTCCCCAGCAAAGCAGCACTGCAGATAAAACCAAGCTGCAGGAGGAAGCCCCTTTGTTCTGAGCTCTGTGATTTGCTTGTGAAATCAAAGCATTTGTGATCATCTTGATCACCTCTGTTGAGTCTATTCTGGGTCTCTGAATCCTAATTTCAAATGTAAATTAATTGATCTCAAAATTCCTAAGACAAAGGGGGCTTGAATATACCTATAATGCCTCAGAGTGGGGTGGGGCAGAAATTGTCGAGCCTCGAACTTATTTAATGTGGAGGACCTTTGAGAAAAAGGATGCATGCATAGAGGAGCCACCACCTCACGGGCTCTGGCAAACCCTACTCTGTATATAACCCAGTGCTACACAGGGGGGGACAGAATGTGACAGCCACCCGGAGTCAAGGTATCGTTGAATTCCACGTTGAACCTGCTCATTGCTGTTACAAAGGATCTCAGTGTTGTAAGAAATAAGTTTACTTCCAAACCAAGGAAAGAAATTGGACTCCAGAGGCAACAGAAGGGAGGCTTTTAATCCATACTCTTGGTGGTACCCACACACAGACGGGCGCACACCACCTGAGAAGCTGTGTGTCTGTATTCCTAACTCGCAGACGTTCTCCCCACGTCGCCCATGGCTTGGAATCCAGGTTTCAGTCCCGGGCAATCTAGTCCACCCCACATCCATCACACCCCACCCGCCATATTTCTCTCTGTAGTTATGTTTGGCCTTTTGGCTTCCCAGGAGTCGGGAAGACTTTGTAGCAATTATCTCTCAGTCCAGAGCCTTATCTCTGGTGTGAGATACCAGAGATATCTGTTGGACAGCTTGTGTGTCCTTGTCTGATGGCTCATTGAGCTAAGTCTAAGAATAAGGGCTTATTAGAGTGGTTAATGAAATGTGGACCAATGAAAAATATTTTCATCTCTTAAAGTGGCCAACAGACTCAATGAAGGCTCACCTTTGGAAGGAATTCAGGCGCTAAATTCTTGGTTTTAGCAGTAAGCTCTGACTTTTTCAGCACGGACCATAGGAACATGCAAATTTTGCTAAGTTACTCCCTACAAAGTCAAAAGGGATAGAACCAACCCCCATGCCTCTTGGAGCTGACCTCCTCCTCCTCCTTGCTGATGACCTACTTTTAATTCTCCTTCTGTGTTCTTCTGCTGAGAAATGCAGGAACGAGTATCATCGGAAGCTACTGCCCTGAGAGTGGGCAGTGCCACTCTGCATTGCAGGACTCAGTGGACGTTGTAAGGCTGCAGTTGTAGTATCTGAAACCGTGCAGCTGCCGTGGAGGTAGCTGTCAGCCATGCCTGGGTACACAGAGCTTATTCTTTCTGGAGCCACAAGCGTTTCCCCCATCCCTGCAACCACTGAACGAAGTTAAGATTTCTCCAGTCCCGCAGCTGCAGACCAGCACCTCCCAACCAGAGACAAACATCTGCAGACTCTGTGGGTGCCTTGTGCAGCCAACAGTGCACATGTCTTCCCAGTGCCTGCTCATGGTGCCAGGGGATGCCCTGAACTCTGCCATGGTGAGGGGGTGGATTCCTGAGGTAGCAGCATATGTTATCATCAGAGCTAACGACCCCCCCCCAACACGTCCAGCATGTCTGTCCCTATTTAGCAGCTTCCCTGTACCCATAGCCAAAACTTGCCTCTTAGGCCCCATCCCATAGTTCCTTGACAACAGCCTGCGACCCCTCCACAGCTCTCTGATGCAGTGCAGACCTCCCGAAGTGTCTCTTCCACCACCCTGATGTGCACAGGCAAGAAACTGCATGAGCGATCAGAGGGTAGGGCAGCCCTGGCCCACGGTGGCTCCACTGCCCCCATTTTCCCTTGTAGCTGCCACTGTCTCCTGTCTCCACTGCCCCCACCCCTGGGCTGGTTCCCGCAGGGGCTTCTCCAATGGTCTCCAGATGCGCCCTCCTGCCCTTTCCCACCCTTCCCACTCATGGCCTCCCAGATGTTTGACTTTTGCCATATAGCAGCATACTTGTCAGTTTATAATTCAGT